ACGGGACTAGTCAAGCTCCTGGACAAGGCAAGCTTCTGGACCAGGTAAGCTCCTGGACTAGGCAAGCTCCTGGACCAGGCAAACTCTTGGACAAGGCAAGCTCCTTGTCCAGGCAAGCTCTTGGACCAGGCAAGCTTGTGGACCAAGCAAGCTCCTGGACCAAGCACACTCGTGGACCAGGCACGCTCCTTGACAAGGCAAGCTCCTGGACCAGGCAAGTTCCTAGACCAGGCAAGCTCATGGAACATGCAAGCTCCTGGACCAAGCAAGCTCCTGGACTAGGCAAGCTCCTGGACCAGGCAAGCTCCTTGACCATGCAAGCTCCTGGACCAGGCAGGCTCGTGGACCAGGCACGCTCCTGGACCGTGCAAGCTCTTGGACGTGGCAAGCTCCTGGACCACACAAGCTCTTGGACCAAGCACGCTCCTAGACCAGGCAAGCTCTTGGACAAGGCAAGCTCCTGGATCAGGCAAGCTCCTCGACCACTCAAGCTTTTGGACCAGGCAAGCTCCTCGACCAGGCAAGCTCTTGGACCAGGCAAGCCCCTGGACCAGGCAAGCTCCTGGGCCAGGCACGCTCGTGGACCAGGCAGGCTCCTAGACCAGGCAAGCTCCTGGACCAGGCAGGCTCGTGGACCAGTCACGCTCCTGGACCAGGCAAGCTCCCGGACCAGGCAAGCTCCCGGACCAGGCAAGCTCTTGGACCAGGCACGCTCCTGGACCAGGCAAGCTCCTAGACCAGGCAAGCTCCTGAATCAGGCAAGCATCTGGACCAAGCAAACTCGTGGACCAGGCACGCTCTTGGACAAGGCAAGATCCTGGACCAGGCAAGCTCCAAGACCAGGCAATCTCCTGGACCAGGCAAGCTCTTGGACCAGACAAGCTCCTGGACCAAGCAAGCTCTTGGACCAAGCAAGCTCTTGGATAAGGCAAGCTCCTGGACAAGGCAAGCTCCTAGACCAGGCAAGCTCGTGGACCACGCATGCTCCTGGACCAGGCATGCTCTTGGACTAGGCAAGCTCCTGGACCAGGCAAGCTCCTAGACCAGGCAAGCTCCTAGACCAGGCAAGCTCATGGAAAAGGCAAGCTCGTGGACCAGGCAAACTCGTGGACCAGGCACGCTCCTGGACCAGGCAAGATTTTGGACTAGGCATGCTCCTAGACCAGGCAAGCTCCTGGACCAGGCAAGCTCCTGAAGCAGGTAGGCTCGTGGACCAGGCAAGCTCCTGGACCAGGCAAGCTCCAGGACCAGGCAAGCTCTTGGATTAGGCAAGCTCCTGGACCAGGCAAGCACCTAGAGCAAGAAAGCTCTTGGACCAGGCAAGCTTCTGTACCAAGCAAACTCGTGGACCAGGCACACCCCTGGACCAGGCAAGATCCTGGACCAGGCAACCTCCTAGACCACGCATGCTCCTGGACCAGGCAAGCTCGTGGACCAGGCAAGCTCCTGGACCACGCAAGCTCTTGGACCAGGCAAGCTCTTGGACTAGGCAAGCTCCCGAACAAGGCAAGCCCCTAGACCAGGCAAGCTCGTGGACCAGGCATGCTCCTGGACCAGGCAAGCTCCTGGACTAGGCAAGCTCCTGGTCCAAGAGCTTGCCTGGTCAAGGAGCTTGCATGGTCCAGGAGCTTGCCTGGTCCACGAGCTTGCCTGGTCCACGAGCCTTCCTGGTTCAAGAGCTTGCCTGGTCTAAGAGCTTGCATGGTCCACGATCGTGCCTGGTCCACGAGCTTACCTGGTCGAGGAGCTTGCCTGGTCCAAGAGCTTGCTTGGTCCCGAAGCCTGCCTGGTCCAAGAGCTTGCCTGGTCCAGGAGTTGCGTGGTCAAGGAGATTGCGTGGTCCAGGAGCTTGTCAAGTCCAAGAGCTTGCTTGGTCCAGAAGCCTGCCTGGTCCATGAGCTTGCCTGGTCCAGGAGATTGCGTGGTCAAGGAGCTTGCCAAGTCCACGAGACTGCCTGGTCCAGGAACTTTCCTGGTCCACGAGCCTGCCTGGTCCAAGAGCTTGCCTGGTCCAGGAGCGTGCATGGTCCACGAGTGTGCCTGGTCCAAGAGATTGCCTGGTCCAGGAGCTAGCCTGGTCCAGGAGCTTGCCTGGTCCAAGAGCTTGCTTGGTCCAGAAGCCTGCCTGGTCCAAGAGCTTGCCTGGTCAAAGAGCGTGCCTGGTCCAAGAGCTTGCGTGGTCCAGGAGCCTGTGTGGTCCAGCAGCTTGCCTGGTCAAAGAGCTTGCCTGGTCAAGGAGCTTACCTAGTCCAAGAGCTTGCCTGGTCCAAGAGCTTGCGTGGTCCAGGAGCTTGCCTGGTCCTGGAGCTTGCCTGGTCTAGGAGCTTGCCTGGTCCAGGAGCTTGCCTAGTCCAGAAGCATGCCTGGTCTACGAGTTTGCTTGGTCCAGAAGCTTGCCTCGTCCAGGAGCTTGCCTGGTCTAGGAGCTTGCATGGTCCAGGAGCGTGCCTGGTCCAGGAGCTTGCCTGGTCCAGGAGCTATCCTGGTCCAGGAGGTTGTCTTGTCCAGGAGCTTGCCTGGTCCAAGATCTTGCTTGGTCCAAGAGCGTGCCTGGTCCAAAAGCTTGCCTGGTCCTGAAGTTTGCCTCGTCCAGGAGCTTGCCTGGTCTAGGAGCTTGCTTGGTCCAGGAGCTTGCCTGGTCCAGGAGCTTGCGAGGTCCAGGAGCTTGCCTGGTCCACGAGCTTGCCTCGTCCAGGAGCTTGCCTATTCCAGGAGCGTGCCTAGTCCAGGAGCTTGCCAGATAGAGGAGCTTGCTTGATCTAGGAGCTTTCCTGGTCCATGAGCATTCTTGGTTCAAGAGCTGGCCTGGTCCGTAGCTTGCTTGGTCAAGGAGCTTGCATGTTCCAGCAGCTTGCCTGGTCCAGGAGCTTGTCTGGTCCAAGAGCTTGCCTGGTCCACGAGTGTGACTTGTCCAAGAGCTCGCTTGGGCCAGAAGCTTGCCTGCTCCAGGAGCTTGCCTAGTCCAGGAGCTTGCCATGTCCAGGAGCTTGCCTGGTCCAGGAGCATGCGTGGTCCAGGAGGTTGCTTGTTCTAGGAGCTTGCCTGGTCCAAGAGCTTGCCTAGTCTAGGAGCTAGCCTTGTCTAAAAGCTTGCCTGGTCTAGGAGCTTGCCTGGTCCAAGAGCTTGCCTAGTCCAAGAGCTTGCCTAGTCAAAGAGCTTGCCTGGTCCAAGATCTTGCGTGGTCCAAGAGCTTGTCTGGTCCAGGAGCTTGCCTGGTCCACGAGCTTGCCTGGTCCAGGTGCTTGCCTGGTCCAGAAGCTTGCCTGGTCTAGGAGCTTGTCTGGTCTAGGAGCTTGCCTGGTCTAGGAGCGTGTCTGGTCCAGGAGCGTGCTTGGTCTAGGAGCTTGCCTAGTCCAGGAGCTTGCCTGGTCCAGGAACTTGCGTAGTCTAGGAGCGTGCAAGGTCCAAGAGCTTGCCTGGTCCAGGAGCTTGATTGGTCCAAGAGCTTGCTTGGTCCAAGAGCTTGCCTGGTCCAGGAGCTTGCCTGGTCAAAGAGATTGCATGGTTCGGTGGCTTCCCTGGTCAAGGAGCTTGCCTGGTTCAAGAGCTTGCTTGGTCCAGGAGCTTGCCAGGTCCAGGAGCTTGCCTAGTCCAAGAGCGTGCCTGGTCCAAGAGGATGCCTGGTCCAGGAGCTTGCTTGGTACAGGAGCTTGCCTAGTCCAGGAGCTTGCCTGGTCCAGGAGCGTGCCAGGTCGAGGAGCTTGCCTGGTCCAGAAGCTTGCCTAGTCCACGAGCTTGCCTGGTGAAGGAGCTTGCCTAGTCCATGAGCTTGCCTAGTCCAGGAGTGTGCCTGGTCCAGGAGTGTGCCTCGTCCAAGAGCTTGCCTTGTCCAAGAGCTTGCGTGGTCCAGGAGCTTGCTTGGTCCAAGAGCTTGCGTGGTCCAAGAGCTTGCCTGGTCCAGGAGCTTGCCTGGTCTAGGAGCTTGCCTGGTCCAAGAGCTTGCCTGGTCTTGGAGCTTGCCTTGTCGAGGAGCTTGCCTATTCCAGGAGCTTGCCTGGTCCAGGAGCTTGCCTGGTCCAAGAGATTGCCTGGTCCAAGAGTTTGCGTGGTCCAGGAGCTTGCCTGGTCTAGGAGCTTGCCTGGTCCAGGTGCTTGCCTAGTCTAGGAGCTTGCCTGATCCAAGAGCTTGCCTGATCCAGGAGCTTGCCAAGTCCAGGACCTTGCCTGGTCTAGGAGCTTGCTTGGTCCAGGAGCTTGCCTGGTCCAGGAGCGTGCCTGGTCCACGAGCTTGCATGGTCCAGGAGCGTGCCTGGTCTAGGAGCTTGCCTGGTCCAGGAGCTATTCTGGTCCAGGAGCTTCCCTGATCCAGAAGCTTGCCTGTTCCACGAGCGTGCCTGGTCAGGAGCTTGCCTTGTCTAGGAGCTTTCTTGGTCCATTAGCTTGCCTCGTCCAGGAGCTTGCCTGGTCCAGGAGCTTTCCTGGTCCAAGAGCTTGCCTGCTCCAGGAGCTTGCTTGGTCTAGGAGCTTGCCTGGTCCAGGAGCGAGCCTGATCCACGAGCTTGCCTGGTCCAAGAGCGTGCCTGGACCAGGAGTGTGCCTGGTCCATGAGCGAACCTGGTCCAGGAGCTTGCCTAGTCCAGGGGCTTGCGTGGTCCAGGAGCTTGCCTGGTCCATGAGCCTGCCGGGTCCAAGAGCTTGCCTGGTCCAGGAGCGTGCATGGTCCACGAGCATGCCAGGTCCTGGAGCTTTCTTGGTCCAGAAGCTTGCCTGGTCCAAGAGCTTGTTTGGTCTAGGAGCTTGACTGGTCCAGGAGCTTTCCTGGTCCAAGAGCTTGCCTGTCCAGGAGCTTGCTTGCCTGGTCCAGGAGCGAGCCTGATCCACGAACTTGCCTGGTCCAAGAGCGTGCCAGGACCAGGAATGTGCCTGGTCCACGAGCGAGCCTGGTCGAGGGGCTTGCGTGGTCCAGGAGCTTGCCTGGTCCACGGGCCAGCCGGGTTCAAAGAGCTTGCCTGGTCCAGGAGCGTGCATGGTCCACGAGCGTGCCTGGTCCAAGAGCTTGCCTAGTCCAGGAGCTTGCTTGGTCCAGGAGCTTGCCTTATCCAGGAGCTTGCCTGGTCGAGGAGCTTGCCTGGTCCAGGTGCATGCCTGGTCCAGGAGCTTGCATGGTCCAGAAGCCTGTGGACCGGGCAAGCTCGTGGACCGGGCACGCTCGTGAGGAGCTTGCCCGGTCCACGCTCCATGTCCACGTCCACGTCCACGTCCACGTCCACGTCCACGTCCACGTCCACGTCCCCCTCCACGTCCCCGTCCCCGTCCGTCCACGTCCACGTCCATGTCCGCGTCCACGTCCGCGTCCACGTCCGCGTCCTTGCCGCGTCCACGTCCGCGTCCACATCCGCGTCCACGTCCACGTCCCCGTCCACGTCCACGACCATGTCCACGTCCACGTCCACGTCCACGACCACGTCCACGTCCACGTTCACGTCCACGACCATGTCCATGTCCACGTCCACGTCCACGTCCATGTCCTTCATGTCCACGTCTACGTCCACGTCCACGTCCACGTGCACGTCCACGTCCACTTCCACGTCCACGTCAAAGTCCACGACCATGTCCACGTCCATGTCCACGTCCACGTCCACGTCCATGTCCATGTCCACGTCCATGTCCACGTCCACGTCCACATCCACGTCCACGTCCAGGTCCACGTCCACGTCCACGTCCACGTCCATGTCCATGTCCTCCACGTCCACCTCCACGTCCACGTCCACGTCCACGTCCATGTCCACGTCCACGTCCACGTCCACGTCCACGTCCATGTCCACGTCCACGTCCACGTCCACGTCCATGTCCACGTCCATGTCCACGTCCACGTCCACGTCAACGTCCACGTCCATGTCCACGTCCACGTCCAAGTCCACGACCACGTCCACGTCCACGTCCACGTCCACGTCCACGTCCATGTCCACGTCCATGTCCACGTCCACGTCCACGTCCACGTCCACGTCCATGTCCTTCATGTCCACGTCCACGTCCACGTCCACGTCCAGGTCCACGTCCACGTCCATTTCCACGTCCATGTCCACGTCCACATCCACGTCCACGTCTACGACCACGTCTACGTCCATGTCTAGGTCCACGTCCACGTCCACGTCCACATCCACGTCCACGTCCACGTCCACGTCCACCACCATGTCCACGTCGACATCCACGTCCACGTCCACGTCGACATCCACGTCCACGTCCACGTCCACGTCCACATCCACGTCCTCGTCGACGTCCACGTCCACGTCCACGTCCACGTCCACGTCCACGTCCACGTCCGCGTCCACGTCCGCGTCCACGTCCGCGTCCACGTCCACGTCCGCGTCCGCGTCCACGTCCACGTCCGCGTCCGCGTCCACGTCCATGTCCGCGTCCACGTCCACGTCCTCCACGTCCACGTCCATGTCCTTCATGTCCACGTCCACGTCCACGTCCACGTCCATGTCCTTCATGTCCACGTCCACGTCCACGTCCACGTCCACGTCAAAGTCCACGTCAAAGTCCACGACCATGTCCACGTCCATGTCCACGTCCACGTCCATGTCCACGTCCACGTCCACGTCCACGTCCACGTCCACGTCCACCGAGCGTGGACCGGGCAAGCTCTTGGACCAGGCAGGCTCGTGGACCAGGCACGCTCTTGGACCAGGCAAGCTCCTAGATCAGGCAAGCTCCAGGACCATGCAAGCTCTTGGACCACGCACCCTCCTGGACCAGGCAAGCTCCTGGACCAAGCACGCTCGTGGACCAGGCACGCTCCTAGACCGGGCAAGCTCCTAGACTAGGCAAGCTCCAGGACCACGCAAGCTCTTGGACGAGGCAAGCTCTTGGACCAGGCAGGCTTCTGGACCAAGCAAGCTCTGGACCAGGCAAGCTCCTGGACCAGGCAAGCTCCTGGACCAGGCAAGCTCCTGGAATAGGCAAGCTTCTAGACCAAGCAAGCTCCTGGACCACGCAAGCTCTTGGACCAGGCAAGCTCTTGGACCAGGCAAGCTCCTGGACCAAGCACGCTCGTGGACCAGGCACGCTCCTGGACCAGGCAAGCTCTTGGACCATGCTGGCTCGTGGACCAGGCACGTTTCTGGACCAGGCAAGCTCCTGGACCAGGCACGCTCGTGGACCAGGCACGCTCTTGGACCAGGCAAGCTCCTAGACCAGGCAAGCTCCAGGACCATGCAAGCTCTTGGACCAGGCACCCTCCTGGACCAGGCAAGCTCTTGGACCAGGCACGCTTCTGGACCAAGCAAGCTCTTGGACCAGGCAAGCTCCTGGACCAGGCAAGCTCGTGGACCAAGCACGCTTGTGGACCAGGCACGCTCCTTGACCGGGCAAGCTCCTAGACCTGGCAAGCTCCAAGACCACGCAAGTTCTTGGACCAGGCAAGCTCTTGGACCAAGCAGGCTTCTGGACCAAGCAAGCTCCTGGATCAGGCAAGCTCCTGGACCAGGCAAGCTCCTGGACCAGGCAAGCTCCTGGACCAGGCAAGCTCCTGGACTAGGCAAGCTCCTGGACCAGGCACGCTCCTGGACCAGGCAAGCTCCTAGACCAGGCAAGGTCCTGGACCAGGCAAGCTCGTGGACCAGGCAAGCTCGTGGACTAGGCACGCTCCTGGATCAGGCAAGATCCTAGACCAGGCAAGCTCCTGCACTAGGCAAGCTCCTGGACCAGGCAAGCTCCTAGACCACGCAAGCACTTGGACCAGGCACGCTCCTGGACCACGCAAGGTCTTGGACCAGGTAGGCTTCTGGACCACGCAAGCTCCTGGTCCGGGCAAGCTCCTGGACAGGGCACGCACTTGGACCAGGCAAACTCGTGGACCAGGCACGCTCCTGGACCAAGCAAGATCTTGGACCAGGCAAGTTCATGGGCCAGGCAAGCTCCTGGACCAGGAACGCTCCTGGACCAGGCACGCTCCTGGACCAGGCAAGCTCCTAGACCAGGCAAGGTCTAGGACCTGGCAAACTCCTGGACCAGGCAAGCTCGTGAATCAGGCACGCTCCTGGACCAGGCAAGCTGGTGGACCAGGCAAGCTCGTGGACCAGGCAAGCTTGTGGACCAGGCAAGCTCCTAGACCAGGCAAGCTCCTAGAACAGGCAAGGTCCTGGACCAGGGAAACTCCTGGACCAAGCACGCTCGTGAACCAGGCAAGCTCCTTAACCACGCAAGCTCTTGGACCAAGCAAGCTCGTGGACCAGGCATGCTCGTGGACCAGGCAAGCTCCTGGACCAGGGAAGCTCCTAAACTAGGCAAGCTCCTGGACCAGGTAAGCTCCTGGACCAGGCAAGGTCGTGGACCAGGCACGCTCCTGGACCAAGCAAGCTCCTAGACCACGCAAGCTCTTGGACCAGGCACGCACCTGGACCAGGCAAGCTCTTGGACCAGGCAGGCTTCAGGACCAGGCAAGCTCTTGGACCATGCAAGCTCCTGTCGCAGGCAAGCTCCTAGACCAGGCAAGCTCCTGGACCAGGCAAGCTCCTGGAATAGGCAAGCTTCAGGACCAAGCAAGCTCCTCGACCACGCAAGCTCTTGGACCAGGCACGCTCGTGGACTAGGCACGCTCCTGGACCACGCAAGCTTTTGGACCAGGTAGGCTTCTGGACCAGGCAAGCTCCTGGTCCGGGCAAGCTGCTGGACAAGGCAAGCACTTGGACCAGGCAAACTCGTGGACCAGGCACACTCCTGGACCAAGCAAGATCTTGGACCAGGCAAGCTGATGGACCAGGCAAGCTCCTGGACTAGGAACGCTCCTGGACCAGGCACGCTCCTGCACCAGGCAAGCTCCTAGACGAGGCAAGGTCCAGGACCAGGCAAACTCCTGGACTAGGCAAGCGCGTGAATCAGGCACGCTCCTGGACCAGGCAAGCTCGTGGACCAGGCAAGCTCGTGGACCAGGCAAGCTTGTGGACCAGGCAAGCTCCTAGACCAGGCAAGCTCCTAGACCAGGCAAGGTCCTGGACCATGCAAACTCCTGGACCAGGCAAGCTCGTGAACCAGGCAAGCTCCTAAACCACGCAAGCTCTTGGACCAAGCAAGCTCGTGGACCAGGCAAGCTCGTGGACCAAGCAAGATCTTGTACCAGGGAAGCTCCTAGACCAGGCAAGCTCCTGGACCAGGCAAGCTCCTGGACCAGGCAAGCTCGTGGACCACGCTCGCTCCAGGACCAGGCAAGCTCCTTGACCACGCAAGCTCTTGGACCAGGCACGCTCCTGGACCAGGCAAGCTCTTGGACCAGGCACGCTCCTAGACCACGCAAGCTCCTGGACCATGCAAGCTCCTGTCCCGGGCAAGCTCGTGGACCAGGCAAGCTCCTGGACCAGGCACGCTCCTGGACCAGGCAAGCTCCTGGACCAGACAAGCTCCTAGACCACGCAAGCTCTTGGACCAGGCACGCTCCCGGACCTGCCAAGCTCCTGGACCAGGCACGCTCCTGGACCAGGCAAGCTCGTGGACCAGACAAGCTCTTAGACCACGCAAGCTCTTCGACCAGGCACGCTCCTCGACCAGGCAAGCTCTTGGACCACGTAGGCTTCTGGACCAGGCAAGCTCCTGGACCGAGCAAGCTCGTGGACAAGGCAAGCTCCTGGACCTGGCAAACTCGTGGACCAGGCACGCTCCTAGACCAGGCAAGATCCTAGAACAGGCAAGCTCATAGACCACGCAAGCTCGTGGACGAGGAACGCTCTTGGACCAGGAACGCTCCTGGACCAGGCAAGCTCCTACACCACGCAAGGTCCTGGACCACGCAAGCTCTTGGACCAGACAAGCTCCTGGACCAGGCAAGCCCCTAGACCAGGCACGCTCGTGGACCAGGCACGCTCTTGGTCCAGGCAAGCTCTTGGACCAGGCAGGCTCGTGGACCAGGCACACTCTTGGACGAGGCAAGCTCGTGGACCAGGCAAGCTCCTGAACAAGCCACGCTCCTTGACCACGCAAGCTCCTAGACAAGGCAAGCTCCTGGACCAGGCAAGCTCCTGGACCAGGCAAACCCGTGGACCAGGCAAGATCCTGGACCAGGCAAGATCCTGGACCAGGCAAGCTTCTGGACTAGGCAAGCTCCTGGACCAGGCAAGCTCCAGGATCAGGCAAGCTCTTGGACCAGGCACGCTCCTGGACCAGGCAAACTCCTAGACCACGCAAGGTCCTGGACCAGGAAAGCTCCTGGACTAGGAAAGCTCGTGGACCAGGCACGCCCCTGGACCTTGCAAGCTTGTGGACGAGGCAAGCTCCTAAACCACGCAAGCTCTTGGACCAGGCAAGCTCTTGGACCAGGCAAGCTCTTGAACCAGGCAAGCTCCAGGACCAGGCAAGCTCGTGGACCAGGCAAGCTCCTGGACAAGGCAAGCTCCTGGACCAGGCAAGCTCCTGGACCAAGCAAGCTCTTGGACCAGGCAAGCTCCTGGACCAGGCAAGCTCCCGGACCAGGCAAAATCCTGGACCGGACAAGCTCCTGGACCACGCAAGCTCATGGACCACGCAAGCTCCTGGACCAAGCAGGCACGTGGACCAGGCACGCGCTTGGACCGGGCAAGCTCCTGGACCTGGCAAGCTCCCGGACCATGCAAGCTCTTGGACCAGGCACGCTCCTGGACTAGGCAAGCTCTTGGACCAGGCAGGCTTGTAATCCAAGCAAGCTCCTGGACCAGGCAAGCTCCGGGACTAGTCAAGCTTCTGGACAAGGCAAGCTCCTAGACCAAGTAAGCTCCGGGAGTAGGCATGCCTCATCCAGGAAAGCTCCTGGACCTGGCACGCTCCTGGACAAGGCAAGCTCCTGGACCAGGCAAGCTCCTGGAACATGCAAGCTCCTGGACCAGGCAAGCTCCTGGACCAGGCAAGCTCTTCGACCAGGAAAGCTCTTGGACCAGGCAAGCTCCGGGACCAGGCAAGCTCATGGACCACGCAAGCTCCTGGACCAAGCAAGCTCTTGGACTAGGCACACTCCTGGACCAGGCAAGCTCCTAGACCAGGCAAGGTCTTGGACCAGGCAAGCTCCTAGACTAGGCAAGCTCGTGGACCAGGCACGCTCCAAGACCAGGCAAGCTCCTGGACCAGGCAAGCTCCTGGACCACGCAAGCTTTTGGACCAGGCAAGCTCTTGGACCAGGCAAGTTCCTGGACCAGGCAAGCTCCTGGACTAGGCAAGCTCCTGGACCAGGCAAGCTCCTGGACCAGGCAAGCTCCTGGACCAGGCAAGCTCATGCACCAGGCAAGCTCGTGGACCAGGCAAGCACCTGAACCAGGCAAGCTCCTAGACTAGGCAAGCTCCTGGACCAGGCAAGTTCCTGGACCAGGCAAGCTCCTAGACTAGGCAAGCTCCTGGACCAGGCAAGCTCCGGGACCAGGCAGTCTCGTGAACAAGGCACGCTCCTGGACTGGGCAAGATCCTGGACCTGGCAAGCTCCTGGACCACGCAAGCTCTTGGACCATACACGCTCCTGGACCAGACAAGCTCTTGGACCAGGCAGGCTCGTGGACCAGGCAAGCTCTTGGACCAGGCAAGCTCCTGGATCAGGCAAGCTCCTCGACCACGCAAGCTCGTGGACCAGGCATGGTCGTGGACCAGGCACGCTCCTGGACTAGGCAAGCTCTTGGATCAGGCACGCTTCTGGACCAAGCAAGCTCCTGGACTAGGCAAGCTCCTGGACCACACAAGTTGTTGGACGAGGCAGGCTTCAGGACCAAGCAAGCTCCTAGACCAGGTAAGCTCCTGGAGTAGGCATGCCTCATCCAGGAAAGCTCCTGGACCTGGCACGCTCCTGGAACATGCAAGCTCCTGGACCAGGCAAGCTCCTGGACTAGGCAAGCTCTTCGACCAGGAAAGCTCTTGGACCAGGCAAGCTCCGGGACCAGGCAAGCTCATGGACCACGCAAGCTCCTGGACCAGGCAAGCTCCTGGACCAGGCAAGCTTCTGGACCACGCAAGCTCGTGAATTAGGCACGCTCCTGGACAATGCAAGCTCCTGGACCAGGCAAGCTCCTGGAACATGCAAGCTCCTAGACCAGGCAAGCTCCTGGACAAGGCAAGCTTCTGGACCAGGCAAGCTCCTGGATGAGGCAAGC